TTTGGCTTCTTCACCTACACCACTGCTGAGGTGCCATTGTCTTGTCTCATGTTTTAAAACACTTTTTATATGCTAATGACTTCTAAATTTCCATTGCCAGCCCAGACCTCACCTCCCCCTCACCCCCAGACTCCTATATCAACTGCTTACTTAACATCTCCATGTACGCAGCTAATACGCATCTCAAACGTAACCTGTCTAAAGCTGAAATTCCTAATTGCACAGCAGACTGGTTCCTGCACAGCCTCCAGCAAACAAATCCCATTCCTCAAGTGGAAATTCTATTTCTTGAGCCAAACACCTTGGAGCTACCCTTAATTCCTCTCTTTACATCACACTTAAATCAAGTCCATCATTATAATAAGTCTGCTTTATACACTATCATATCAGACAATATCCAGAATCTGACCACCTGGTTCAAGCACCACCATCTCTCAGTGGAATTGCACTGATCTAATGGTTTCCCTGCTTCTGCAGTTTAGTCCATATCATGCAGCCAAGCAACTTTGAAGACATGTCACTCCACTGCTAAACTATCTTCCATTACTTCCATTCCCACTTTGACTAAAAGCCAAAATCTTTCCAATGGTCCCTGAGGCCAAAGATAACCTGCCTCTGTACCACTCCCTTTTCTCTAGCCACAGAAGCCTACTTGCTATTCCCCAGAATCGTCAAGCATATTCCCATGGCTTTTGCCTTTTATGTTTCCTTTATTTGTTTATTTATTATCCTCTCTCTAAATGATTTCCTTCAAAAATGGTTTCCAGGCTCAGCTAAAAGTTTACCTTATCAGTAAGCCTTCCCTGTCTTCCTTATAAAATAACCTGCAACTCAACCCCATCCCAACCTTTGTTACACTCCTTATCCTGCTTTACTATTTTCCTGCCACTAATCACAGTCAGACAAATTACACATTTACTTATTTATTTTCATTTTTTTATATGTTATTCTCCCTCAACTAGAATGTAAGCTCCTGGAAAGCAAGGAGTGTATTTCATTTGCTAGTGAATTCCCGGGACCTAGAAGAGTGCCACACCTTGGATAAATACTCACTGAATGAAGAATCTCACAAAGGCATGGCAGGCATCCTTGTAAACACTGCTCTGTTGCAAGCCCTCATCTCTCCCCTTAAGTCAGTGCCCAGACCCCACCAGACTTGTCTCCATCCCAGCTTTTGTTCTGTCCGTTACCCTCCTAAGGGCACATCCAGGTGCATCATTTCCTTTATTCAACCTCTACAGACTTCCAATGTCTAGAAAACACAATGAAGATGTCTTTATTTGTCAGGCGAGGGCCGGCATGTATTCTAGCCATGCCAATATGCCAATTATTCTGTGAATTCCTCTAATGAACCATAAGCCCTAAAAAGTAATTATTATGTCTTATTCAGCTATGAATTCTCCAGTCATCAAAGAGCACACAGTTCCTTGGATAAGGTAGATATTCAATAAATGTTGTTGAAATGAGCAAATGAATGAATGGAGGCATCCTATCTGACATATGATGATTGCTACTCTGCTTAGAATGACTCTTCCCCACTTCTGTGCTTGAAAATTCTTCCAAATTCTTTAAAATCCAAATCATACGTCACCTTCTATTTATGGATAGCCTGCTTAGACTGCCCTGAGCAGATGTAATCATTCCCTCCTCTGGACTCTTTATTAGTACTTCTTACATGGCCTTCTTGAGTATCAGCCCCATGAGAGCAGGGTCATTGGCTATCACTTGCCTACCCTCAGGTCGTCAGCCAGTACCTGACACATAGAAGGTGCTCAATAAATTTCAGTTTGATGAGTAATTTTCATCATCTGCTATTATAATTTTTCTGCTAACAAATGTGACTCCTCCATTACACCATGTGTAACTGGAGGGTTGGAACTGTGGCTTATTTCACTGAAGGGCAACACTGCCACAAGTACACTTTTGTGTTGCCTGAATAAATGGGTTTCTTGCAATAAAGTTTCATTTCATCCATATGTTAAGGTGTCACATTCTACACACACTTGCTGTCAAATGTACTTCACCGTCTTTCCAAGCCTCCTCATTAAGATACTTGAAAATGGGTTATAGATCCTCAGGAACCACCAGCACTCCTTCAAATGACCCTTCAAATAGTTGAGGCGCCCCTGGCACTTGGTTTCTGGCAATTTCACACATGCCACCTGCTTATACCTCTTATCAGATTCACAAACTAATCTGATCATACTAAGGTTACATTTAACTTTATCTTTTTGCCATGTTTGTACTTCAGATTAACTATCAGGAAATGTGAAGAATAGTATATGAGGTTGAGAATGGGGAGCCAGGGAACTGGTTTCTATCCTGCAATGCCATCTATATATATGCCATCTATATATATTGGAAGCTAGCAAGAACAATAAAACCAGTCACATCCTTGCTGGAACCTATGATCAGTCTCCCTGTCTCCATGATTTGGAAGTACAGAAGAAGGTATCAGCCTTCCAGACTTTCAGGAGGAAAATAGAATCTGAGAACCTAGCTAAGAATATAAAATGCAAGGGACACAAGGAACACAAACTAGAACAGGACGAGAGAAGAGCATTTAAAAAGCCAGTGCTTAATGGATCCCCACTATTTTCCTATAAACAATAGCTCTCTTTGAAATTAGGCTCTATAATTGTGCTAGGAAGCCTTTAATTTAAAACCAACTAGTGAAAAAAAAAGCAAAAACTCTAACGATAATTAAAGGATTCAGACATCTCAAGACAATCTTTCTGTAATACTCACCTTTTCTGCAATAAATCTGTACTCAGAGCTATTCTAAAGCATCAGCATTTAATTTCATTTTAAATTATGAAACAAAAGAAGTTTTAGGCAATATAAACCCAGTACATAGCCACAGCAAAATAATAGTTAAATATTGAGTACTAAAACACATGCAGAACACAACCATCATCCTCCCCCTTCTTTCTGGCAGAGACATTACCTAGGATGGAGGCTGAAAGATTAGATAGGCCTTTCTTCAGTCTCTTTTACAGCTGGGGCCAGAGTATGTGACACATTCTGGCCCAAAGGACATGCAGGGAAGTCTGCTGGATGAGGGGAATGGACAATGGAGCGCAGATTCTGAGAGAAGTTTAGTTCCATATTTGACGTGGCTGTAAGGATGTGATGCTTAGAGCTGCTGAAGCCACCTTATCACCATGAGTGGCATAGTCACTATCAACCACATGGAGGATGATGGGACTGAAGAATGGCAAGAGCCTGAATCCACTGACTTCAGTGAGTGACTGAGCCATTCCACAGTCCATTTATTATGTAGAGAATAATACATCCTTAGTGTTCAAGTCCCTTGAAGTTCAGAAATTGTGTTACAATAAGCAGCCAAAACAGCCTTCCTACTAATAACTGAATTATGCACTTAGACCAGATTCAGAAACTGTCAAATTCTAATGAGCAAGGACATTCCTTTTACTGTTAATATATTTAATTTTGTCTCAAATAAACATCAACTTCTACCTCTTTAAGATTAAACATTCTGTTTGTTTAAAGTTGTTATAAACATAAATGAATAAGCCTACCATAGTTCCTGTTACAGTATAGCTATTGGAATAGGTTAGGGTCTCTCAAAGTGTTTTTGGAAGATAAGTTCCTAAAGCTGCTCCCAAAGAAAGCTGGCTTCATGCCCTTGTAAGTGTAGAAAACTGTTCCTTATTACAGCCTGTTATAAAGGTTCAAGTGCAGATTGACATTAAAGATACTGAGAAGCCCAGCACTTTAGAAACTAAACAAAATAAAAAACTTAACTTTATTTATCCCTAAGGAAAAGTACAATATACTGTATGTGTCAGACACTTCAATAAACATTACTTGTGATGATGATAATTAGTACTACACTGTTTTTTAATAAAAGTATTTTATTTTTATTAAATTTATTAAAATAAAATTTTAATTTTATTGTGGTAAGAACACTTATCCACCTTCTTAACAAAATTTTTAGTGTACAATGCAATATTGCTAATTGTAAGCACAATGTTGTAAAACAGATCTCCGGAACTTACTCATTTTGCATTGCTGAAACTATACCCATTGATAAACAGCTTTCCCATTTCTCCCTCTCTGCTGCTCCCTAAAAAACCACCACTTGACTATTTCTGATACCTCATATAAGTGTTATCCTGTAGCATATTTTTCCCCTGTGACCAGTTTATCTCACTTAGCACATTATCGTTATGGTTCATCCATTTTGTGGCATATTACAGTATTTTCTCCCTTTTTAAAGGATGAATAATTTTATATATATACACATACCTCACATTTCTTTATGCATTCATCCATTGAAGGATATTTAGGTTGTTTCCACATCTTGGCTATTGCGAATAGTGCTGCAATGAACATAGAAGAGCTAACATCTCTGGGTAATCCTGATTTCAATTATTGAAATCAGGACTGGAATTGTTGAATCATATGGTCATTCCATTTTTAATTTTTTGAAGCACTTCCATTTTTTTTTTTAGCAGCTTCTCCCTTTTGCATTCCCACCAATAATACACAAGGATTTTGGTTTCTCTACACCCTTGCCAACACTTGTCTTTTTTAAAAAAGTAATAACCATCCTAAACAGGTGTGAGGTGGTATCTCTTTCTGGTTTGGATTTGCATTGCCCTGATGATTAATGATTTTGAGCACCTTTTCATGTACCAGTTCACCATTTATGCATCTTCTTTGAAGAAATATCCCTAATCAAGTCTCTTATACATTTCTAAATTGAGTTTAGGAATTTTTTTAATACTGAGTCATATGAGTACCTTATGTATTTTGAAAATTTTCCCCTTATTTGATATATGGTTTACAGATATTTTCTCCCATTACACAGGTTGTTTTTTCATTCTATTGATTGTTTCCATTGTTGTGTAGATGGTTTTAGTTTGAAGTAGTCTCCTTGTCTATTTCTTTTTGTTGTTGCCTGTTCTGGTGTCATATCCAAGAATTCATTGCCAAGACCAATGTCATGAAGTTTTTTTTCTATTTTCTTGTAGGAGTTTTATAGTTTTTTGTACAGTGTCACAAAGGACGCCAAACAGCCAAAATAATCTTGAGATGGAGGAACAAAATAGAAAGCATCATTCTTCCTGAATTCAAAACATATTCAGAGCTACAGTAATTAAAACAGTGTGGTACTAGCCTCAAGACAGATGTATAGACCAATGGAACAGAATAGAGAATCCAGAAATAAACCTTTGTGTGTTTGATCAAATGATCTTTGACAAGAGTGCCAAGACCATACAATGGGCAAAGGACAGTCTTCCACAAATGGAGTAGGGAAAACTAATAACCACATGAAAAAGAACAAAACTGGACCTTTATCTTTTACCATGAACAAAAGTCAACTCAAAATGGATTGAAGACTTAAATGTAAGGCCTGAAACTATAAAACTCTTAGAAGAAACCACTGTTTTTTTAAAAAAATAGAGCAAGATTGCTGAGTCTGTCATTCTTTGAGATTAGGGACCATATTTATTATTTCTGTACTGTACCCAACTTAGAAGGGTGCCAACAGCATCACAGGTATTCATAGAAATTGACTGATAAAGAATTCATAAGAAATTGATCTGGTTTAAATTGAACAACCAGACTTCAATACAGTAACATCTAGTGGGACTTCTGATCATTCCCCTAGTTACAGGAAAGTTATGGTGATGGTAGTGTTTCTTTATTCTCATATTTAACATACTGTCTAGCTTACCTCTGCAAATACTAGAGAATGTTAGTATTTGTATTTCTTTGCAATTTTCAAAAGAAATAACCCTTTGAAACCTCAATTCCCGAGGTTTTGATATGATAGCTTCAGCTCATCACTTTCACACTGCATATGAGTTTAATTCTTTTTTAAATGTCCGTGAAAAATTGTATGTTGACCCCATGGAAAGAATGATTGCTGATTAAACCAGCCACTTAAAAGTCATCAGCTGCTTCTCAAAGTACCCAGGAGAATTTTAATTGACATGTTATACCACATAACAGCAAATCAGTAAACACCAATTAAGAAGCACTTTAGGTATGGCACAGAAGTTTTTTACCTGTCTTTGAGCATCTTTGGGATTCTTACAGGGCACCATGGTTCTAACGCGCACCTCATGAGCCTCCCTCATCCTCCCTCCTTCGCTTACATTTGCAGAAGCAAAACTTAGAACAATGTCCTGGGTCCACTGACACATATATAAGACAACAGGATAACCAAGACTATTCAAAGTTAGTAGAATAAAAATTGTTAATCATCCTGAACTCCTTGGTTACAGGTATAACAGAACAGGTAGCAACCATGGCCCTCTCCTGAACTTCTGCCCCTACCCATCACTGGAAATATGTTTTCTGGTTAATTTGTCAGCATTGTCCTCAAACAAAGAGCCCCTTTTTATTGGCAGGTACAGGCAATGCTTAGAAAAGCTACACAAAAAGGACTCAATATAAAAAGAAAGATGGCCTTGCTGAGCAGGTAGTTCTTTCTGATTTTCTGTAATAGACTTCACTTTGCTATGAAATTAAATTTATAGTATATCTGCTAGACACTGGGACTCCAGCAAAGCTTCACTATTCCCTGACTTAACATTAAAGCAGGCATTTTCATGAGGAGGCCATTTCAAGCCAAATAACTGGTTATGTGAGCCATTTATAGAAAGCCTTTATTTAAAAAGAAAATGGATAGGCACTGTCATTTACAGAAACTGTTAGTATACAGGCACACATTCAAATTTTGTTTTCCTTTGAGAATACTCTTAAAAAGACAGATGTAACATTAGACAATGGGAAGCTTTGTAGCCTACTACAACACCTCTGTGTTTATTATTCTGACTCATAATCTAGCACTTATCAGGTGGCAGGCTGCAAATGGAACAGCGAAATCCTATTTCAATAGTGGGTGATCCCATCATAATAAAAACCCAGCCTGTGACTTCAGCTCTGGAGTGGGTATTGCATCAGGTGGTGTGAAGTGCTGAACATAATCCATGAAGGGATCCACATCAGGAAAGCATGAACCCACAAGCCTGAGAAAATTACCCCACCTGTATACATAGTCCTGTGGTACAATGAGCTGATACTGACCTACTGGGCTTTGGGCTTGTACTGTGGTTTCAATTTCCATTTATGCAACTGAGTTAAAAGAAACAGAAGAATTAAAATGTCAAGCAAATCAAGAGAAAAATTTGGGGCATTCAGGTTGGGGAAAGGTGGGGGAGAAGCATGAGTCACACACTTATCGTGCAATTGTCAGAGAGCCTCCAGGTCTTATTTAAAGCTCTGAAGTGACAACATTAGGAGGTTCAGTAACGCTACAAAATATAAGAAGAAATAGCTTATTAAGGATTGTGAATTATGATCATGAATTATCTTTATTAGGGATCATGTTCAAAAGCAGGCAATTTCCTACGGGTCTGGCTCTTTGAGATCATCTGAGTCAACTTCTCATTGATCAGTAAGGCTAAGGCTCAGATGAGTGAACTATCCAATAGCAAGGCTATTCCACGGATCCCAAACTCAGTCATCCCTCCACCAGGATATGCAGCTTCTAAAACAGATCTGACAATAACAGTACTCAGACTTAAGCCTTCTAAGGTTCTGGAACTTTAATCAAGTTAATTCCTGATATTGTTTCTTAAACAGACTTTGTTTTGTTCTGAAGCTTAATATCACCCACACGCCACACTCTATAAACACTGATTTTCCTGCTCTACTCACATGACAATACAAGAAAACTATAACATCTTAGAACATAACCAGCTTAGCAACACTAAAGCAAAGATGAACACAATTCCACTAGGCAAGAATGGAGTGAAGAGAAGATGAATAAAAGCCAGCCACGGCAAACTGTTTTTGTAAGATTAACCAAGGTGGGGATCCTCACAACAGGAAGAAACTCTTTCAGGGTCACCAGTGCACAGTCCGGATGCTGGGACTGGCAGCGCCACTGTTCAGTGGGGAACACGCCAAGCACCGATGTGCCGATGTAATGAATGGACCGGCTCTCCTGAGAAGCAGCAGCATTGGGCCAAATTTTGACAAAGACGCATGGAGTGTAGTTGTTGGAAGGTGTCTCAGTGCGGGTTTGGTTTATTGCCCCACTTTACATGTGAGAAAATGAGGCCCTGAGTGGCTGCAGGGTATCCTTGTATATATGGTTCATTTCCCAGATGATTCCCTTTTTATAGAGCAAGTCCAAGACCTAGTCACCCTCTGTTTAAATAAGGAACACAGAAACTAATCAAAAAGAAAATGTGATAAATATTTGATGTGGAAAGAGTATTGAACTCTGAATAGCTGATCTGAGTCTATGTCCTATGAGTTCTGATCTTTGAATATTTGAATTTCCATTCCTTATTCCATAAAATGGGGATAATGATATTCCATAAATTTTCAAGATTCAATGTTGGATTACATTTGGAAATATTCAGAACTCATAAAGTGATGCACAAACATGACCTTTATTACCTAATGTCTTATTCCAGGAAAATACATTTTTTAATGTAATATATAATGCTGTTCATGGCAAGGATAACAAAGCATAATAAAGAAAATAAAGCATAAATTGTGTTTGTGGCTTTGAAAACGTGCAAATTGGTAAGATTGCATGAATTGCAAGTAAGAAGGATCTACTGCAGGAATTTGCAAACATTCACAGGTACAGAGCCTCTCTTAAGTATTTGATAAGTCCTCTGGATGACATTTTTAGAAAACAAGGCATGTAATATACACATAAACACAGGACTTTACATAAAATCCCAAGTATTTTCCCAAGAGCTCAAGTTAAGAATATTGTAAAAAGCAAAACTCTCTGCAAAAAAGAGAATCACCTGCATAATTTGGAAGCCGTTTCTTTTTTCCTTTGTTTATAAGACAAGGCACTCCAAACCATAGATCAAGTAGCATTTTAACAGTTACATTGAATTCAGGTCCCAACTACTAAGTCAATTCTACCTACTCAGAATGAAAGGACTAATAGAATGTATATGATAATTCAGATCAATTTAATAAAACACACAATATAAATCCCCATAAACTTCTGAACTAGAAATCATAAAGCAAAGCATAAAGAGAAGTAACTGTAATTAAAAGGAATTAATGTAACTGAAAGAATTTTGAAAGCAAGAAGAAGCAAAATTTTCTTCTATTGAATAGACAAACATCACTAACTTTCTTCTGAAAACCATTGAGTCATCACATTACAGTTTACAAGTTATATTTACACATTCTAGTACATATTCTGATCTGTACATGGATAATTGAGGATTCACTGAGCCTTTATTATTTATTTCTATCTAAAGTCACTTTGCAGCTGAGTCCTAATTATTGCCATACTTATAGAACTAAATGTCTCACATAAGAAGGTAATTTGTTAGATGTCTTCAAACTTTACTTAAAGAGTCTTTTATTCTAATGATAAAAGGCCTGGAAACCACATCATATAATGAACAGTTCGAAGAACCCTACTTACATAGTACAAGTACTTCTATTAGCACCTCTTTTTCCTCTGTAATTATTTGCTTATATGTCTGTCTCCCCATCTAGACTGTGAGACTTTCCAGGACTGTGTTTTATTCATTTTTTGTATCCATACATCTGAACATAGAAACTAATACATGTTGGTGCTCAAAACATTTTATAACAGAAGGAAGAAACTCAAATAGATCAGTTACAAGAAGGTAGATTTTTGACTCCACATAGGGAGAACACTAGAAATTTTATGTATCCTAAGAGTGGAGTCCAGCCTATCCAGTACTTGGTCAGTAGCTATACAGCCTAGATAGCACAGATAGGAAGTTCTAGTGCAGGGTACAAGTTTATCTGAGAAGACGTTACTGAAATGTACAATTCTTCAGAGTGACGTACAGCTCTTCTGATCTGTGCATGGATAATGAGGGTTGATTATATCTTTACTACTTCTTTCTATCTAAAATAACCTTGTAGTGAAATTACCTTCTTGTGTAAGTTCTATTATTTTCATAAACACTGTGTATTGACAGTGTATTACATTTCTCCCCTTGCTAGCCACATTGAGGAATTCTAAATGTTTTTTATACATTATTCTTTACATCTTCCCAAACTGGCTATTCCACAAATTGGTTTTTCATACCTCAAAAGAAAAAGGAAAAAAAATAAAAGCATTCCTGAACTACCTAAATGTAAAAAAATCATAGTAATGCAGGTATATTCATTAGAAGTGAACACCTGTTCAATACATAATTGCATAAAAAATTGCTGCCCTCAATGTCCAAATTTAATTTCTTGATAATGTAATTTAAATGTGCTTGATAACAATTTAAAAACCTCAACAGATATAAATTTGCAGACTACAAGCTTGACTGTGTCCAAACGTTGCCTTCTAGAAAGGATTTTTTTAACTGTGCCCTGTGTTGCCCATACTCATCAAATAATTAGAAGCCTTGAGAAGTTTAAATAAATGAAGCATTACCCCACTGATGTAAGGCAAGGAACACTGGACTTGAAGCTGAAAGATAAACTTTCCCATAATAAATGAAAATATTTAAATTCTAAATTATTCATACTCAACTTAGAGAGACCTTTCCCCCTCAATCTTTATTATATGAACAGAAAAATAGATAACAGCAGTTTAAAAGAGCCAAGTAAAAAAAGATGAACTGAATTAAAAACAAAAAAATTAAAACAAAGTTAGGAAGCAAGGAAACACCTTCCTTCAAAAAACAGAGTCCAGAAGCTCAGGACAGGATGTATACAGGATTCTTTTTGACTCTCAGATGAGGA